TCTGTCAACAATTACTTACATTTTATATCAATTTTGAGGAATAAATAACAAATTATAACGAATTTAAAACTAGCCATTTAATAGAACGAAACGGAATAAAAAAATGAAAAATGGGATGAAGAAAAAATTATAACACTATCGAAATTTATCAAACGGGCTAATCGCTTTAAGTAAAAAAGCCGCCGTGCTTTTAATGATATTCATCTATTATTGACTATAGTGTGCAAAGCGTTCTGTTATGTTGATTACCTAAGAACCATGGCGATACGAACTTTCAAAACAATCAACTCTACAACATGACTAAGAATAGTGTCTAGAATTATAGGGGTTATAACAAATAGTGCTAAAATTTGAATTACTTTGAAAATGTATTTAAAACTACATTCTCAAAACATAAGAAGTACTGTGGTATGTGCTACTGATGTCGACAGATATGAGTAGCATGTATTCTTAATCGAAAATGGAATGCCTGGTGGCAGAAGGTTGAGAAAATCAAAGAGAAGAGAACGAGGACAGAGAGTGATAAATATAGAAACGAGGAAACAATAAAGTCTGAGACAATTGATGGATATTTTGGAGATGAAGTGTACATTTTACGGTTCTCAGATTTTACCAACATATTTTGTAATATCGAGTTAAATTACATTTGTTATCCCCACTTGTGTTCTCGTTTACTACGGTACGATTATAAATTCAGTTATATGACTATTATCCCAACTTAGAATTGGGACTTTTGATCAATGATGTATAAATACAAGAATAAGTTCATGAGTGGCTGAAATTAATAGTTACTAAATAAATAGGAAAGTAAAATTACAACTGTGTTGAATGTTCAATGTCTAATGGAATTAATTATTAACAATTTCATTTAATCACAATGGGGGTTTGTGGAGATAGTAGAAATTTAATAGCTGAATTCATGAGTCGATTTGAGGTAGACCATCCTGGAAAACCTGGAAGCACTGGACGGCCATTTCGTCCCATACTAGGACTCATGATTTCAACAAGTGAAATTTTTAGACTTTATTGTTTGAAACGTGACGCAGTTGGGTGCTTTCCTCAACGTGTGTCCTACCCACTTCCAGCACTTATTCCTCATTTCCTCCTCCACTGGCATCTGGTTTGTTCTCTCCCACAGTACGTTGTTGCTAATAGTGTCCGGCCAGCGGATCCGAAGTATTTTGCGTAGACAACTGTGAATAAACACCTGCATCTTCTGGATGATGGCTTTCGTAGTTCTCCAGGTTTCTACCCCATACAGTAGAACTGTCTTGACATTTGTATTGGAAATCCTGACCTTGGTGTTAGTTGACAGTTGTTTTGAGTTCGAGATGTTCTTCAGTTGTAAATATACTGCTCCTGCTTTTCCGATCCGCTCTTTCACATCTGCATCAGATCCACCGTGTTCATATCAATGATGCTGCCCAAATATGTAAAGGTTTTTACATCTTCCAATAATAACGGACTCAATAATCATTTAACATAATCAGAAACATAGTTGATTGAATATATGATCATCAGTATGATTATATAAGAGGTAAAAATCAAAAAGTAAAAATCCAGGAGGTTTGAAAAATTAATAAGCATTATTTGACAATTACTTAATCATTATAGCAGAGAAAGGTTAATCAAGATTTCCTACTATATACATAGGTTAAAATAGGAACATTTGATGACGATTATCTTTGCAAACCATTGTAAAATTGATGTTTGTTGTTAAATGCATTGCTTATATTCACTGCATATCCATTATCTGAATTACTACTTTCCAACATAGAAATATATACTGATTTTAATCATATTCATTCATATATTTTGTGTCCTATTCTTCATTTTATTATGAATAAAAGGGTATTTCGATTATTTAATTAAACTTCACAAACTAAACAAAGATGGATGTTAGCTAGCAGTGGAATTCAGAACGAACGGTTTCCTCTTATTTGACACTTGCTAGCTGGATGTACCTACATGTTAAACTAAAGTATGCTAAGCTTTTCTTTATAATTTTATTAATAATTTTAATTTAAATGTATATCCAGCTAATGAGAAACGATGAAATCGAATGAATTTACTTTATTCCAAAAACTTAATTTCCCTTGTTCTGTTCATATTTATTAGAGAATCTTGTAACATTCAATGTTAACATTCCAATGTAATGCGTTTGGAATCTATATAATAGGATTAATGTTTTGAAAAAAAAAACACATGATCACTTCTCTTTCTGAATATTAGAAACTTTATATAATTCTGTTTTCAAACCAATGAATATTTAAACTCTATACATATAAACTGTGTTTTGATGTTACATAAACATGAAATTATCATTAAATCTGTTGATTTATTAGGAACATTACCTGAATGATCCTTTTTTTTTCAACAAATCAAATTGATCTTGCAAATTTTTCATGGATAATATTCTAAAGATTTAATGAAAAGTTTGAAGGAAGTCTGTGGAAAGGATAAACATTAAAAGTCAGTTAATTACATGGTCAAATGGTTAACATATTTTGTTTCTTTACCAGACTAGTGTCTGTATCTTTCAAATATTTCTTTTTATCATTGTTTACACTTTACCCATCTAGTTATTTTAGTCAATAACAAAAGTCATTTATAAATGACCGTTATGTACTAAATCCTGGTGAGCGGCGTATACACTTCCACGAAGGGTAAGAGACGTAAGTGAGCAAGTAAGTAAGTAAGTGAGTAAAAAGTAAGTAAGCAAGTAATAAGTAAGTTGGTAAGTGAGTAAGAAGGCATATAAGTAAGTAAGCAAGCGAGCAAGGAGGTCTATAAGGAAGGAAGGAAGTGAGTTGAAAAGTAAGTAAGTGAGTGGGTGAGCGAGTAAGCAAATATACAAGCAAGTAAGTGAGTGAGTAAGTAAGTAAGTAAGTAAGTAAGTAAATAAGTGAGTGAGTAAGCAAATATACAAGCAAGTAAGCGGGTAAGTAAGTAAGTGAGTAAGCAAGTAAGTAAGTGAATAAATAAGTAAGTAATTACCTAGTGACTTGGTGTAATTAATTAATGAAAGATCATTTTAAAGTTTCATCTATCTTATTAAATGAATAAATTTAATAAAGAAATAATACTACTGTCAATGATTATTATTAGTATTATCATAATAATTATTATTAACATTTTAAAATTTTATTTAAAAAATCTCATTATAAAAAAAATTGTAAATTATATTAGAATAATAAGAGTAGTACACAATAGTTATAGTTTTAGAATTTCATGTTAGTATAATACACTAGTTAACAGTTTGTAATATATCAGAAGGGGTTTATGGAGATTTTAGAAATTTCACAGATGGGAATCATGAGTCAATTGAAGCTAGACCACCATGGAAAACCTGAAAGCACTTGACGGCCGTTTCGTCCTAGTATGGGACTTCTCAGCAGTCCGCATCCACGATCTCGCACCCTGTGAGATTCCAACACACGACCTATCAGTCTCGCGCAAAGCACTTAACCAACTAGACCACTGAGCCGGCATCCAATGGTGTTAATGTCTAACTTCAACCAATCCAAGAAGTTGCACCACCGTATACCATTTTCTTCAGTGAGCTGATATCTTACAACAAATCTGGTTGAATTTGTAATATACCAAATATTCATATGTATATATGTGTTTTTATTTTTATTTTACCGATTCTAACTTAATACATCTATGTACAGTTTACCAATTTTTATACATCACTAATTAAAAGAACAAATTACATAAAATAACATAATTACGTAAGTTTGAATAATAAGTAATATATCATCTAAGTAAAACATACATAAAATCAGTGATGTATAAAGTTAAAAGACTAATAGAATTGATTTCCAAAGTTTACATTCTATCATCTTCGTTAGATTTTTTATATGATATGGCGGGGTTGCATTTTTTTAAAGTAGAACGAATAAAGTTTATTGAGTTAAGTGCTTCTAAATACCGAAAAAATAATTATTATTGGATTTATTACCTTATTCATAGAAGTGTACTTAAAACTATACAGAATATACTTTTTAATGAAATAATGAAAAATGAATAAAGGTGTCTTTTATTTTTACCTATTAGAAAACAATAATTGTTTATGTTATTCATTGTAACTATTCTTCAGCAGTGAGCATCCATGATCTCGCCAAGTGAGATTCAAACCTAGGACCTATCAGTCTCGCGCAAAGCACTTAACCAACTAGACCACTGAGCCGGCATTCAATGGTGTTAATGTCTAACTTCAACCAATCCAAGAAGTTGCACCACCGTATACCATTTTCTTCAATGAGCTGATATCTCACTGATAGGTCCTGAGTTCGAATCTCACAGGGTGCGAGATCGTGGATGCGGACTGCTGAGAAGTCCCATACTAGGACGAAACGGCCGTCCAGTGCTTTCAGGTTTTCCATGGTGGTCTAGCTTCAATTGACTCATGATTCCCATCTGTGAAATTTCTAAAATCTCTACAAACCCCTTCTGATAATAAATTAGAATTCAGTGGTTAACAGAAATGATTAATGATATTATGTCAATCAATTACAAAAATCGATTGATTTTTTTCCATTTAAAAAGTTCTATTCCTATATTACTCAGAATACAATAAGGTTTTTCTAATCAATAATTGATTACATCATATCATAAAACTTTAATAAACATGATTGGCTTATATAGTGATTTATAAGGGGAAAATCTAGTTTAAAACAATAAATTAAAATATATAATCAATCGAATGTGTCTGTTCAACTAGGTGGTGTGTTTATTATTAGTGATTTAATAAGATATAACCGTTAGGACGATTAGATTGCACTATATATGTATATTCTTTTCAATATCAATAAACTCGAATGTACTAAATGTTTTGTTACTTCTATTGAGAAATTACATATCCTATTTGTTTAAACTTTACAAATAATTAAGGATCATTATTACAATTGACAATAAATTCTTATCAATATTTCTATTTAAATTACTGTTACCATTATCATTTGAGATCATAATATAATATTGAAGTGGTATTCAAAATGACTTTATTAAAAATATTTAGAAAGGAATTATATTATTCTCTGCATATCTTCATAGTATATATTATTTTTGGTAAGTATCAAATGGGTTCCTATGGTGTTTGAATGAACTAATGATACCTTTAGTACTTGTTGAATGCTTGATTTCGAATTGTAAATACAATACATTTGTTTGTGATTATCTAGTAAGTCTTGATCCGATTACATTATTTCTGGGATTCTTAGTTCATATTATAATTCAAATACTTCTGAATACGTTTTTGATTGAGATCATGAACCGATTGATGTTAGACCACCACCTTTGGAAACCTGGAAGTACTGGACGGCCGTTTCGTCCTATTGTGGGACTCCTCAGCAGTGCGCATCCACGATCTCGCTCGCGGGATTCGAACCCAGGGCCTTCGGTCTCGCGCGCGAACGCTTAACCAAAGGTGGTGGTCTAACATCAATCGATTCATGATCTCAATCAAAAAACGTAATAATCTCCACAACCCCCATACTAGTACTTCCGAATACCACAGTTCATTAGGAAAACATAATATTTATCTAGTTCAATTCTTTTTACTTACGCCTGTTACTCTCAAAGGAGTATAGGCCACTGGTTAATTTCTTGAGTTTTATTAAAATAGCATTTGTGATAAATATATATTCTCATTATAACCAGATACATTTCTTCTAAGGATTTGTCTTATAATGTTTATCATTACATAATAGATATGTGTTTTGTACTATAAAAAACAAAATATAAAATTCTATATCTGATCAATCTATTTCATAGTAAACCTTATCTGATTACTAAATAACTTTAAAGATAGAAATCTCTAAGTCTTAGTATGAAGTAGTAAAGTTATGAAAGATCAACTTGTTCTACAAACCTCATACGGTTCCAAAATGGTTGTTAAATGGTTTCTTTTAAAACATTACTACGATGAGATACTTTCCAGTATTGAAATAACAAAAATATTGTTACTTTTATTGGAATCCATTAATTTATACAACTTTTCATGCTAACTAATGATTGATGAAATTGAGAGAGTATAATTTTCTTTGAGATTACTACTATCGAATTATTCATTTATTTTGTTTTCCTGATAGTAAATAAAACAATCGAACATTTTATTGTAAGGTCTTGTTTGTTTACAATGAAACTGGACAGAAATAACATGGTAACCAAAATACTGACGCGAGAAATTATAAAATTTTACACTTACTTAAAATTTGTTTTTGTTTTTAGACATATAGATCCTAGATTAGTAATCATAGTAATTCAGACAAGAAATTAATCCGTTTTCAAAAAGAAACCTGTGTCATCAGTTGATTTTAAAAAAAAAAACAAGTAACGTGATCATCAATCAATTAACTGATTTGTGAAAGGAACTATAAAACTGGATAATTAAGTTTTACGTTCACTCTACTTATCATTCATTTTTGCTAAGATATCAGTTTTTGGGGAATATTCCGTTTTGATCAAACTAACCGTTCAATTAGATTTCCTCATACCTTAAATTTTCTAAATAATATAATGTAATTAAGGATATGAATGACTAAGAGATAATTTGATGAAATGTTCATAAATATATTAATCAGAGTGAACTAATATCTTGCGCATAATGTAACCAAAAAGTGCCAACATCAATGACGCCACCTAGTCAAAAAGTGTGGTGAATGCTATCTAGTTTACTGTTTTAATCCCGATAACAACCCACATTTTATCTTAGGTTCGGTTATCATTGTTGAATTTATAATCGTAATTACCAATTCAAGATAAAATGAAATGTAGCGATACACATTCCTCAATGAATGATTAACAGGCACTATCAGAATGGCTCTGAAGGTGAGGCGACATTTTATGAGTTATTATGACTAAACCTTGTGACAGATTTGTTCATAATATGAAGCTTGCAAAATACACAATCCAATGTGACATCATCCTAGATTATGCTATTATTACTTTAATAATTCGGTTTACCGTTTTAGGAGGACGTAAAGATGGTGGAGAAGATTTGTAGCTCAGGCGGATGAGTTTGGTGGAGTTTTGTTCTTTGAGCTGGATGGTTTGGTCGTGGAGCTTTCATCGTTATTCTAAACGAAATCATCAGCACAAACTTTAGGCGGAAGTGAAATGTTCGGATTTCTTCACACTTCACTTCTACCTAAGGTTTGTGCTGATGATGTCATTCAGAATAACGACGAAAGCTCCAAGACTAAACCATCCAGCTCAGAGAACAAAAGTTCACTGAGAGCAAAGATAATCACAGTTATAGTGATATTAAAAGGAACTTCTACAGCTCTTTAGCTGGTGACCATAAGCTCCTTTGTATGGTGATATAATATTCTCATTCAAATAACAAAACATACCAATTAACTCGAAATAATTAGTTCGGGTAATAACATAAAAACACGAAACGTGTTAAGGTTTCTAATGAAGAAGCCATTTCCCCCAGAAACATTGGCGTGTTCCTGACTAGTCGAACTCCAAATTAATTATTCTCTATAAATCTCCCAAACAAACGCTAATCGTGTTTGTTCACTGGTTCCTGATTTTGAAGTAAATTTCTAAGGTTTTATTGAGAAATTGTAGCTGAGAAAGTCTAGTCATTTCATAGTTAATCGGTTATCCACCAATGACAATGGATGATATCTCTGTTTATAACAAAAATGCTTGAAGTCTAAAAATTCCTAGAACTTGTGATCATACATTTTCAATGAATTAAAGCGAGTACACAGCTTAATCCGGAAACTTTAAAACATTAACATTGTGACAACAATATTTACTGATATTGAGCAATATACCTTGATTAATGATGAAGAATAAGAACACAATGTCAATTATTTTCAGTAATTACCAATCTAGGGTGTTATATTTTATTTCATTAATTGTTTGTCATAATGGAAATTATAAATTCAATACACATTGATTGTTTTTTGTCAATACCTGCCGATAATCTGTAAATACCCTGTCAATAGATCAATAATACTTCATAATTGAAATATATGTAAAACAAACAAACAAACAAATTAGTCTTCATATTGTTCATAAACGAATTCATTCGTTTTGTTCATGGTTATTCTAGTTGATATACGAAATTAAAAGGCTATTTCATTAATCTTAATAAATATTTAAGGGAAATATTTGTATATCTGAATAGGTTTTAGTAATTATAGTGAATATTCTTTTAAAAAAACCGACTATCTTGAACAATAAATGAAGATTGGTTTGTTGACTTTTCTATTCTCAAGTCATACATTAAAGGGCAAGTTAGATTTTGTATATAGAAGTTTATAAAATGTTTCCGAAGATTTTTCTTCTTTTAATAGACAGATTTGTGTATATTTTTTTTACAACGCCCTTGAAAATAGTTTGAAAAGTGGCGCACAATGAATATTGACAAACTAATTAGAAAACAAAAAAATGTTTCTTTAAAATAACAAGGCGAAAATGAAAGACAATTTGAATTTTTCATAAAAACTAATTAAAGAATATAAAATGTGGTATTCCAACTTATAGAAATAACAATCCGTAGTATTTATATGGAATAGTATATTCTAATTACTGACTGGCTGACTGACTTAATCTTATTATTCAGTATACACTGTGAATATGAACTCTATAATTACTATAGACTGAATGTGATTTTACTTCTACAAGATCTAGAACAGAAGTTGCATCCTTATGGATGGTTACATTTATTATTGTATATTTATCTCATTTAGTGTTCTTTTTTTTGTAATAAAATAGAAATCTAAAATCTATCCTGAAAAAAATAACAGATTTATTGTCCAACTTTCGTCCAATGAGTTTCACTGATCCCAAGCACCTCTAGGTTGTATCTCCTCATTTCTGCAGCGATTTGAAAGACTCTCCCGGTCTCCCACATCGTACGAGTATTCCATGTACCTAAATAAATGGTTTCTCTGGTTGTCAGAAGGGGCAGAGGCCTCGTGACTTCTGAAGAAACTCGGCTTTCATCATGAGGCATCATATCTCTTCTAAATGAAGATCTCCTGACTCTGAGGGCAGAGTTTAAAAGGTTTGAATAATTTTTTCTGGTTAGGGCTTTTTTAGCGAGTCGGTTTTCTACGGGATGGGGTCGCTAACCCCATGCCCAACCCTCCTCCTTTATCCGGGCTTGGGACTGGCAGTAGCCCCCGGAGGGACTTCAGACGAAGTTAACAGACTTATTGATTAGACATTAGATTTACAAAATGTATGTGCTGTTATATACCCAGTGATAATACTGGAGTTTGTTCCTAATAAATCTATATAACACTGAAGGTTCATCTGTTATATATTTATGAAAAGTTGCATAACATATGAGATTTATCTGAAGAACTTAAAGAATTTAATTGACTTATATGCTTTATGTAATCATTCATCAGGTTGACTGGAGTACAGTATTTTATTAAGTTCTAAAGTAAATTAAACCAGTATAAAAATTGTAGGCCACACTGATATGTTTAAGTTATAATTTAAAAGAATACTTTAAAGTTTGAACACATATCTTAGATGAAATAATGTCGGTCCCATTTTTAAAAGTGTGACTGTAGGAGGATTATGGAGTTATTTAATGTCTAACTTTTAAAAATGAATAAAAACTGTTGCTATTTTCCTTGAAAAAGCTTGGACCAGATTGTCAGACGAAACGTTGAATTAACTTCGAATTCATACATTCATACATTTTTCCACTTTAATGTCTCACATTAACTCGGCTCCCAAATATTGTGAAACTATTCGTCCAAATTTAGACGAAAGTTCTTATTTATTAAAACTGATACTAGTTTGAATAAGAACAATAAATTATTATGCACAACAATTCAAATTACTTGTTATCATATATTGATACATCGCTAGCATTATAGTGTCAATTAAGATGAGAGAGTGAGAGCTTATCTTCAATCAACTAATTATAATTGAAAAAAATTGTAAGTAATAAGTAAGATGGTAATTGTTTACCTTGAGATAACGTTCATCAGACGAAATCAGAAAGAATGTATCATCACAGTATAAACAGATCTGCTAGCTGTTTTGCTTCTCAGCTTGAGTATACTACATTATCCTAGATTTTTAGTAGTTATCCATTAATTTTGAAACAGAAAGCCAGCAACTGTAATAAAAGTGTAAGTCGATGTACCGATTTCTTTATTTAAGACGTATGTATACAGTATGTGAGAGCCCATATAATTTCGTCTTATTGTGTCACAAATTTTTTTTATTTTGTATATATATAGTGGATCGCTTTCTGACTTATTATAATAACCTATGTGTTGATTCATTTCAATTTTCAGGTTCCAAATGGATTTTTTGCGAAATTATCAATGGTTCCGTTACTGATACAAAGTCAAGTGATCATTTAATCATATGGATTTCAACTGGTATGATGTTTCAATTTCAAAATATGTACAATTACGATTAACTTTTAAATTTTAACTAACTTTTGTTGACATTCCCCTTTTTGTCTAGGTACTACATCACTAGGTCAATAGGTTAACTAGGAGTAATATCTTATAGTTTTCTATCGCATAGTCAGTTATTCGCATAACCGATAGGTCCCAAACTAGATATTCAATATCATAAAATAGTATTATAAATTATAATCTATTTCATTGCAAGATACCCGCACGCTGGATTCGAGCCAGCACCTTCGGTTTCGAAGACCACTTACGTTATGTTTGCACTGATTCCAATTTTTCATCTCCGACCTTATTAAACAGCCGTTCAGCCAGACAACTATTGAAAAAGAACTGCTCAATACCACTATACAGTTATAATTTCTGTATAACACATATTATAACACTTGTACATATCAACACAATTATTATAATGAAATGTTACTGATGAAAACAGAATAATTTTAGAAGTTCAATTAAGTCAAAATGTTTATCATACCAATAACATGTGAGGGAAGAGATCTAAAAACTTTAGTTCAGATAAGGAAGATAATTTATCAAAAATCTACAACCAAATAACTAAGATCTAATACTGTAAGTTGGAAAAGTTGTTGTGAGAAACGCATTGACTGGCGTATGATGGAAAAGATGCAACAATGAAAAATCGCCTAGATAAAATGTTCTCAACTAACTAAATTTTCATAAGATTACAATATCACTGAAGTAAATCATTAAATATCTGTTATCTGATGATTAAATTATTTGCTTTGCAACTGTTGGATAATATCCATTGATCATCTGTTAGTTAGTAACTATTACTAAATGAATCATTCGTATGATTAACTGAATAATGTATTTCTTGAGACAAAACAAGATGTGTAGAATTAATCTAGGTTCCTACATTTGCAACTTTGATATAAAGACTAATCTAATACTAATGTGTTCGAAATCACTGAATGATTGACATGATGGAAGGTAGTTGAAAAGTGACAATTGTTAAGAATTTTCTATGTAGTCAGTAAATTGTTATCAATATATATTAAAATTGAAATTATGATTAGTAACCAATCACTACCCAATCTAAAATTTGGTGCAAATTACAGGATAATACACTTTAGTATTATGGAAAACTAGATGTTACTGCTGTAGGTTGATGGTTAATATAGTTAAAACTTTTAACTATAGGGTCTAAGTACTATGCCTCACAGTGTACGACCAATTTGAAAAAGTAGCATTCATAATTCATGCATGAGGGTAGTGTAAAACCCGTTATATATATTTAATGAATTATATTATTATTCTACAAGTCGCATAATGGATACTTAAAATTATTTAAAATTCATAATAATACAGCTTAGTAGGAAATCAAACAAATACACTGTTTTATTACAACTTTTTGAAAGTCGAAAGCTGGTGGTTAATAGGTCTTAGCTTCATGGACAATTGCAACACAAATACGCGTCAAACAGTTTAATATCACACAAATTTTGAATTTCAGATAGATCACAATGATAGTGAATCTGTTTATGCAGGGTATGATTATTGTCATATACATAGGATCTTTCAACTATAGGTATTCACACTTGAGAATATCATTCAAAATGTTAGGTACATGTAACTTTGTAGAACATATAAATGACTTGATGTATTCATGGTCTCACTACTTTCATTCATTCGAATATTCAATTCTTATAGTACAGAAATAACTACATGAAATACTTCTTTTTTTGTATAAACATGGGGACCCTTTAATGTTTCAATGTTGCTTTATGGATTCGAGAAAAAATGTGTAGTCATTTGTTCCGAAAATATGTATAGTACCCAAGAATCGATTTAAAGTTTTATAAAGCTATTTAGTTCACTGTTTGATTTGAAACTTTAATGTGAATGGTTGATTTATAATAACGATTAACGATTAAGCTGGATTATCATTTTAGTTATATATAATTCAATAAGCACATTGAAACGTTATATAATTGTTTGAATTTAATTTAGAGTTCCTAATTGCTAATATCATTAACTAAAATCATATGAAATTAGTATTTAGGTTTTAAAAAATCATTATTTCTGAACCTGAAAGCCATTAAATTTCATTCACAGTTCCATAAGGTAGACACAATTTGAACAATGATTTCTGAAAACGTCAGTGACTGAAGCAGTTGAACCCTATCAGTTTATTATACTTTAGAATTTAACCATGAACAACAAGTTTAAGTCATGATATTTTCAAATTTATGGTTAAAATTAAATATATTCGAATTTTAGACATTTACTGATACCAATTCAAACAAATGTGTCACAAATTTGGTATAAAAATTCATATTTTTTATGTAAACTTTGATAGTGACTAATAGTAGGATTCACAACGTATATTTCAATCTATTAGACACTCCTCAGGTAGATGCACCTACACCCCCGTATTGATGTCCACATTGAAATTCAAACCCAGTGTATTTCTATTCATAAATCTAACAAGTTATTCACTTATCTACTGAATCTAAATACCACTAACTTGTACGATAGTTTTTGGTGACGTTTTTGTTCTCTGAGCAGGATGATTTAGTCGTGGAGCTTTCATCATTATTCTGAACGATATCACCTGCACAAACTCCAAGTAGGCAGTGATTAATTTTATTGTGTCTGTGAAGATTGGAATCTTCCCTTTCTCGATGTTAAGAACTGTAATTGATTAGTCTCTTTTTTGGTTGGTCAACTATAGTTCTTGATCTCAATAACATGAAGATGGGACAAAAATGGATACTTGTACAACTTTATAATAAGCCTTTAATTAGAGATTAAATTCCATCCCTTTTTCACTGAAGTTCATGTAGAAAATTAACGTAATAATAATAATAATAATAATAATAATAATAATAATAATAATAATAATATATATATATATATATATATATATATATATATATATATATATATATATATATATATATATATATATATATATATATATATATATATATATATATATATATATATATATATATATATATATACTTCTTACAGTGTGTTTTAATTGCACTTCTCAATTTTTGTATCCTACTGAAAAATACAGGACTTGGTATATCAGTTGCCGTTCTTATCATTATTGTATGCTGTTTGCTTGTATTAGTATGTAACCTTAGGTAAGTACCACTTTTGTAAATCTTAAATGATTTAAATGTATCACTTTTAAACATCAAGCAATCCAACTACATAATGCAGTACTTTACCACTTGGTTGCATCCTGTTATTAAAATGAAGTGTTGAGTAATTCCTCTAGTATTTGATCGTCTATTATGTATATTATAGATCAGTACTAAGCATGTAAACAGTTCATTATCTGAACAACTCATGAAAAACAGAATAAAGCATGAACGTTTAGAAAATGTCTTATTGTGTAAGAACACAACTTATAACTAATTACTAATTTCTCAGTTAACAATTTTTCGGGAAGTTTCGAGATAAAATACCAAAACAAGAACAGAAAAAGTGAGCCGATGAGAAAATGTTACAGTGGTTGTCAAGTGCTATTTATCGTCCTGATGTCTATTATTACTTTTGCCTTCAAGATTCAAAGTTAGGGCTTGTCTCATGATGCAGTTGGGTGATTTCCGTAATGTATGTCCTATTCACCTCCAAAATCTTTTCCTAACGTCCTCCTCATCTGGAAGCTGCTTTGTTCTCTCCCACAATAGGCTGTTGCTGATGGTATCCGACCAACGGTCATTGAGTATCTTATATAGACAATTGTTTATAAATATATGTACTTGTTTGATGTTGGTTGTGGTAGTTCTTGAAGTTTCAGCTCCGTACATTGACGATCGTATTGATGATTCTGACTTTAATGTTGACTTGCCGACAGTTTCTTTGAGTTCCATAGATTCTTTAACTGTTGGAATGCTGTTCTTGCATTGCAAACTTTACGTTCACATCTGCATCAGATCCTCTTTGTTCATCGATGATGCCTCCCAAGTGCGTGAACGTTTCCACCTTTTGCAGAGCCTCTCCATCAAGTGGGATTGGGTTGGTGTTCTCTGTGTTTTTTTGAGTTGTATTTGGTTTTACCGTTGTGTATGTTGAAGCCTATTGATTCAGAGGCTGATGCTAAATTGACTATCTTTATCGACATTTGATGCTGTTTATGAAGTAGAATGTCTAAGTCATCAACGAAGTGTCAATCATCTAGTTGGATGGAAACTGTCCATTTTATTCCGTGCTTCCCTGCCGATGTCGAGGTATTCATAATCCAGTCGACCACCGGAAGAAAGAGAAGGGGTGAAAGTCTTGTCTGACACTGGTCGTCACTTGAAATGCATCTGTCAGCTGTCCTCATAGCACAACTTTTCAGTGTAGTCTATCTTAAGAATTCCATATCATGCTGAGATTTCAGATACTCCATTATGTCTATGAGGTAACTATCCACACTGTCAAACGCTTTCTCATAGTCAATGAAGTTTATGTATAGTGACGAGTTCCATTCAACTGATTGTTCAACGATGATCCGTAGTGCCGCGATTTGGTCTGTGAACTACAGATCCTTACGGAATCCAGCTTGTTGATTTCGAAGCTGGATGTCCACGGAATCTTTCATCCGGTTCAACAACACTCTTTTAATAACTCTTCCTTATACTGATAGTAATGTTATGTCTCTATAGTTATACTGGCCTCCTAGTTTGGTAATAATATAGGCTTTCTTCATGAGGGATGTTGTAAATCTTGTACGTGAAGATTCCTTAACTCACAGGGCAGAGTTCAAATGCTTCTTTGTGGCTATTTCTTTGTTAGCGAGATTTAGTTTACGAGGTGGTGATGTTAATTCTATCCCAAACCCTCTTCCTCTGCCCGGTGTTGGGACCGGCATTAACCCTAGATGACCCCAAATAGAGTTATATGGGGATTACTATACTATACCTTGAGTATTTTTAGTGAGTGTTTCATTGGCAAATAAAATATTGATTCCATTTTTCACGAAAGTTAATTGACTTGGGAATAAATGTGTGCGTAGTTTTTCATTAATGTAAGCAGAAATCGAGAAAAGTAGTTATACGTCCATGATTGATTTCAAAGTTAACCCTTCATTTTACATTATTATGCAACGACTAGGTACTAAGTATTTCAAAATAGAAACTAATTTGTTTGTTTAATTCAGTATAGCATGGGGTCTGTCACTCAATTTGGTATCCGTTGAAATAAAATAAGTAGTATTTCATTCTACCGACTTGAAGCTTTTTACTCTCACTCACTTAACCCGCGTATTTTTCAATGCAAAGTGAACGACTTCACATCCGAATACATGAAGATATTCAGAAATTCCTTGCAGTCACGGTGATGTAGGGTAGATTTGTACAAGTAGTTCTTCAAAAGTAAAAATATCCAAATAACCACTGAAAGCGAACTCCTGGATAGATACTATGGTCTTCCTGTTCATCTTTCGAGTGCCTCTGAAAACCTCTCGGTAGTAAATCACAGCGATTAGACGGAAGCTTGAAATGACTAAAATACAATTTAAAATATAAGTCAAGAAATAGCGGATTTGTGGCAACCAGTTAAATCACTAAGTTCATGATTTTTCAGTTCACAACTTGAAGTATGTTATTGATTCTTCATGTGTCACAGATATTAGACTTTACTCAGATTTTTGGCCTAAAGCAGATCTTGACATACTTTTACTGGGCACTTTTTTTAATGAAATAACTGTTTCACATAACTACGGATTTATTTAACCATGAAAGGTCAATAAAATGTGATACAGAACCGGCTATATTCAAAGAAACAGCTGTGAACGGAAATAACTGTTTACCTGGTGATCGTGTTCTAGCAACATCTGCCCAAAGGTATCATTTCAGCCATCAGAAGCAACAAATGCTAGCTGAACATAAGTAAGTTACAGACATATATATATATATATATATATATATATATATATTAATGTGACTGGAAGTTCTCAACAAGTATAATATTACATAAAATACCCTATATAAGTAAATTTATTAATGATAAAGCCCATGACAGTTCAAATTATCACTTTAGGGTTATGAAGATTGTTGAGTTTAAATTGAGATCATGAATGGATGAATCCCGCGTGCGAGATTGTGGATGCTCTTTACTGATGAGTCTTATACTAAAACGAAACGACCATCCAGTGCTTTCAGGTTTTCGATAGTGGTCTAACATTGATCTATTCACAATATCAATTTAAATTCAAGTTATGTTTCCTTCACATGGTTCCGCTTATTCACCTTTAGAAAATAAAAGTAAATATTTCAATGGAATCCATTTTCTTTCAATTGGATCTCATCACCTATTTACAACCGGTAACATTTTAAAATCAAAATTACAATTAAAAATTAACATACAAATTCATTTGGTTAGATATGAATATGTATCATTATGTTAGAGCGAAAATGTTGTTAAATAAGTTGTATGAACAAAATAAGATTTAAGAACAGAGAAGAGGATAACAACAAAAAATGATAGAACTAAGTATAATTGACTACATAGTAAAATACTTGAATACAGGTTATTGCTAATAAACCATAACTTGAATGAAGTTCATTCAGTCAGAAATAAATTAATGAAATAAACAAAAACTCAAAATAAGAGAGAGAGAAAGAGAAAGAGAGAGAGAGAGAGGTACAACTGTTTCTTTTCCAATATATCAATACATCTATAGCTTCAGAAAATGTTATAAAAAGAGCCAGATCATGGTGTTTTTGTATTCATTTTGGAAAAATTCAAGACGTCTACTAGATATCCTTTTTCACTGAAATCTCACGAAATTCTTCATTCCGTTCAACCTAAAACCTCTTGGAATATATCTAATGAAGTCTAATATAGGTTCTTGTTTCTGATTTCACAGGCAAATATAAATTTATGCACACAGTTGACAATTATGCGTTTAAATATTAAGTAATATCATTTGTATTACTGAAATGTTATTCTAAAACATTTGATGAACAGAAAGGAAGGGTTATTCCGGTGAAAACGTGTTTCATGCTTATGACTAAATCACTATTTTTTACTTTTAAAACATTTTACGTGTTTGCAATACACTATCAAGACTTAACCAATAATTACACGTAGAAACAAATCTGAATTAGTGGTTACGAGGTTTAAAGAAGTGTCCCACAAAAGGAACGAATAACTATAAGTAGACTACTAAACAGTAATTTACGATAAAAGCGACAAGTTATTATGTTATCAGTTATCATTATTACCACTGGGATACAAGCACTTCATAGTGTTAACATTACTTCACAGGTATTTCATTAAAAATAATGATAAGTTCGTATACTGGATACTTGTCAAGTGAATACAATCATTAACTTTAAAACAATTAGTCCCTTTGATAAATTTCGATAATGTAATTAGAAGACGAAGATTATCAGAATTACGTGATATATTATGTGATATATTATACAATCATTAACAGTAACGGCTAACAAAAGGTACAAGATCACTCATTAAAGCTCTATATGGAAATAATTTAAGTGTAAATCAATTTATTTATTTTGTAGGTTTTCGGTTGTTCCTGAAAGAGGCAATAGTCCACCCAAAGTTCTATACTCTGATTTAAAACCTGTAAGTAAACACAAGTTTTGGCATTAATCTAACTAAATTTATTCTCGTCCCAGAATATTATTCTTTGTAGTAATGACTTACCGAAACAAATGTATTAACCAGATATTTAGTAGAGAGTAATAAATAAATTGCTTGTAAACCATCCCCGCCAACCTGAAAAACTAGTACACTTTCCTTACTAATAGATAACAAGCGGAAGACAGACCTAAGTTTCACAATTTTCATTATTCATAGCCAGTGTTCGAAAAACTTATTTTTTTTAAAAGTTTGAATATGTGGACTAAGTAAGTCAGTACACTGGTATATTGAATGGCACGATTTTGATCATGTTATTTACGTTTATGGCTTTTTGTTAACTACCTCCTGACCTTTAGCAAAAGAATATTTAACAGCTGCTTCGTTTTCTCTTATCATATATATCTGATCACAAAGTGTTTTGTAAGTAGTTTGATGCCCTTATCCACATTAAAAAGTACTTATGTGTCACACGAATGTACAATTTATCGAAGTACAATAACATAATCCAAACTATCTTTAAATTTATTACGTCATTGAATAAATCAAAATATCAACACAATTGTGAACTCGACGCAAATACACTTCGATAAAGTTACTGAGATGGCATAAGAAACAAAACGGTATAATTCCCGCTTTTACTGACTATAACACAGATGAAAACGCGTGTGCATTTATAGACTTTCCGGCGTCCTTGAGAATTAGACATTCAGGCTGTAAGTTTGTACGGCTTGATTCAGTTGTATATACGCGGTTTGAAGATTCAAAATAATGATTATAAAATATCGATCATTCGGTAAATTTGTGTCGCATTTTAAGAAAATAGTACAATTCCCAACACATTCCTTTTTATATAATTATTAAACATAAAACTGTCAGTAATGTATGGAATGAACTCCACCTATAGCTCTTCTAGGGTTACTGCCGGTCCCAAGCCAGTGTAAAGGAAGAAGGTTGGACATCGGGTCAGCAACTGCATCCTGTTATTACGAACTTAATTACTCCTCTCTATGTACGTGCCTTTATACACAATCAGTAAACCAAGTGGGATATGACGTAATAATTTACGCGATCTTGAGACCTATGGGGAATCATGTCATAAATCTTTTTAATGACAATCGATATAGCATTATATTTCTACTCTTGATTTGATACATAGTTGGTAATGTAAAGACCGAACAAAATTAATTGTAATAAGGAATAATTTTTGAAGGTGTTTAAAAGATGCTTCATCTTTCATATCTAGAGACTTGGTGTAAATTTTTCAATGTGATTTAGAAAGTGGGGAAATATAAATCTCACTAAAACGTGCTTTCACATCTAACAAAGAATTTATAATATTCATATCTCATTATGCTTCTCGAATAGTCGAATACGTACAGCATGTTAAGATTTTTTGGCTGATAAACATATTAGTCTCAATGACAGAGATGAATTTTTTAATACCAAACAAATGTTCAAACTTTGTTTGAAATTCATTCATCTTGCCCACGTAGAACTGGAGTCAGTTAATGACTTATATGCCAAAAAGCATAGCTAAAAACATATATATTTTGCCAATTCTGTTTATATATATATTCTATGATAAATACTAATTGTATAACTGTTTTGGATGCAGGCTGAGAAACTAGAAATTGAGAACCCAGGTTTCATAGGACCTTCAGAAAACAATGATAATCACTCCGCAACAGCGTCAACAAATCAATCTGCAACACGGTAACGGTTTATTAGAACATATTGATCCGCAAGTCTAGTAACCGAACGGCTTTTTGGCCACCTTTAGTACATTTAAGGAAACTAATCCCGGTTTGCGTATTGATGATTTTATTTCTTATCTTGTACATGTTATTGGGTATATACCGGGACAAAAGAACATGTATGAAGAATTATTGTCCCAATTTACTCTTGTTGTCTCATTCATTATTTTATTTGTTGTATGTACTCTAATAATATGAATAGCTATAATATAAGATCACTTAGATTATTCCTGGATATTTTTCAGTTGATTGCTGAAATGTTTTGACACTACGTTTCTGTGACAGCGAGCACATTAAAGTGCTATTTGTTTCCTCGAAACGCTTAACTCTAAAGCAAAGTGTTTTAACATTTGTGTTTCAAGCCCAATAAATCAACTTTTAAAGTCATATCAATAATGTTCTATTGTTTGAAATTCCTGACACTTTAGGTGAATAAAAAAATATGATCTATTTAGTTATAAACTCGAATTGATAATGAGGAAGTGTAGAAAGATTTCAGTTCAATACAGTTTGTTAAAAAGTAAAGAATAAGAATTAGAGATTATGTAAAGAAAACACAGTTTGTAACCCATGTAAACATTGAAAAGATTTACTTGAATTGGATTGTAGATCAGATAAAATGGACGTTCTTATAATTTGAATAGATATGTTCTAACATTTTTTTTCTTTAACGAGTAACATTTATTAATGAAATGCAGGTTTTGTTGATTAAATGACTTAGCTAGAAAAATATTGATGAATATAAAACTCAGTCATGACTTGAAAAATATCTTATCCAATTATCTGAAGATCTTACTGTTAAGCATGAAATTCACATTTATGAAGTTCATCAATAATGATTTCTAAAGATAAATACTAGAATCTCAATGTTACTATCCTCTCCTCAGAATTAACCAGTTATTTGTTGAGATTTTTCCTGGAGTAGAATATTTGTGAATAACGAGGTTTAATCTGAAATCAACATAGATTTTCTCTGTGGTCCTATCTACCATATGAAATATATTTATTACAACATATTTCAGTATTCGTTTGTATTATGACTTACAAATAATTACAAACTGCTGTGTTTAGATACGATAGAACGACATTTAAAAATGAGCTCTTACATGTTTCCTAATTTATATAACTGGCCTCACTAAATTCTTTTTCATTGAACTGAATGTTTTATGAGTTAATTGCGATTATTCAATAGTCTCCTAGCATAATCAAAGATTCAGTTAGTTAATTCTCTCTTGAATAATGGATATACTATTCGTATTATCATTGAGAATTGTCATTTACAAACATCCAACTTTTAGATATTTGAGTTTGTCAGTACCTTCTTTGTGTTTGTTTTGGTCACTCTACATTGTTTAACTTTCTTACCCTTATTTTGACATGAACAGTCAACTCAATATGCTTTGAAGTTTACTAGTTCTAGATCGGATGATGGTTCTTGAAGACAACGTATACAGCCTCTAACCTAAAGATCGAAGAATCATGTAAGCCTACAACAGTAAACAGAAAGATAAATATACGAGATGGATATATCACAAGCTGTAAAGCAGAAAATAAACTACGATTATGTAATGGTAAAATCTTATCAATCACAGGAAAAAATTAGATGCTTTATTTGGAACTGTTAATGATTAAGCAAGCTCCAAGAAGTACCGCATAGTAATGAATTAATGAATTAAGCTGTGAAAAGACACTAATACAAGTACGAAAATGAATGACAACATTATAATAAGAGTTTGTGAAGCTGTCCTGTATGACTAAATGTAAACATAAATACTCAAGATTTAGAAATAGACCAATATAAATCAAACTACTGATGATTGGTACATAGCATAGAGTAACACAAGAAATATCAAGCAAAGAAGTAATATAGTTTGGAAGCAACAAACTTTTAATATCACTTATTGTATGTTTCTCAGATTGAATGTCTGTATCTATAGAATTCAAATGATTGTCACAGAAGTTAATAAATTTCTAGTAAACTTTTCTTAGACAAATGTACAATTTGATGAAATCAGTAATATGAAGTTGTGAAAATTTAGTAAACAGTTAATACAATGAAATGGTATGCATTAAATACATTTAAGTTGTTAAATTTATTGTTTGATGATAAACGTAATTAATAAAACCGTTTCTATCATATCAATCATCCTGCCGCACTTCCAAATTACTTACACGTTATTTGTACTAAATACTAGCATTCTTACCGGGAATGATATGGCCTTACACGATGAGCTGATGAATTTCTCCGACGTAGAGTACTCAGACACTGCAAATAAATAATAGTAATAATAAACGTTCCCGGGTCTTCGGTGACGTTCAGTAATACCGTTCAACCTAATTGGCCGTAATATTTATCGTGAATTCGGTAGATATCTGGTATTTCAAATATTTTGAAGTTTCATGACTGAATTCGTTACTAAATGATTAATGCTCTAGAATCGACTGTTGTTGTTTTGTTAAATGGTCTTTCGCTTAGTCAAAGATGTGAAACTTTGTTCTTATTTCTATGTTCAGGAAGTCTAAATACAGTGAAGTGGACGAAAGAAAATGAGGAAAAGAAAAGGGATCAATAACAACGATGATGAATACAGTAGTGGCTTGTATCATCAGTTCATCTCAGTGGAAAAAAATGTGCGACGCTATGTGTGCAAGCACCTAGTTATTCCTTAAAGCTGCTCATTCATGCAGCTCCATCTGTCAGCTAGTATAGTATTCTAGAGAACGTACATAACATGACCGTCCCATATTTTCCTATAACTAGACGAAGATATTCGTAGCACACAAAGACTGTATTCGTATGTTTTGTTCATCAACCCTAAAACTCTTCACGCTGCAGTTTCTCCTATTTTTTCCAAGAAATTCTCATATACCTTCGTAAAAAATGTAATACCTTTCTGAATTTCAAAGATCTTATATAGGTCTTACATTTACCAAGTAACAACTGGATGAAAATATCTAGCTCCTTGGTGACAAAATAGACCATCATGTTAGCTTTTGCTGTGTGCCCTGGATAGTTAGCTCAGCTGTTTAGGGTTTATATCAGAAGTGGACATGAATTACTCCTTGTTGAAGTATGGCTAAGGTAACGACTACTGAAGATGGATTTAGTTTATTACTATTCATAGGGATGAAAGATGATGTTCAACACTTGCAGGTAAATTATTATCATTCTCGATCCTCCTGTTACGTTCATATATATAAATAAGTGATTTAGCAATTTAAAGTAGCAAGAAGTTGAATTTTTAAAGCAATTATTTTTTAAACCGAAAATTCACTTAAATGTAGTTTACTTTTTATGAATATTAAGGAGGAATTGTTAAAAACCGAGATCTGTAGATGAGTAGAAGACTAGGAAACACATAGGAAAACATGTATAAATTACAAATCATTTGACTAATTGATAAGTCTCCCACTTGAACGTTTGTTTCGGACTTCCCGACTGGTTCCTAAATTTCAATACTACTCCCCTTGGACTCAAACAACAGAAAAACGGAGTGAAATATGAGTAGATGCTTTGTTTCATGTTTCATCTATATTTGGAGAATCCAGTTTGTTTACAGCTTTTCCAATAGTTTTAATTCTTTAAAAACTTCTGAAGATATTTCAAATATAGTACAAAAATAAGTAGCTATCCAGTCAAAACGTAATACACATTCCCTCGCTGTTCTAGATGTTCCGGATAAGCATCTATTCAGTTCTGATTGGGCAAAACTATTTTTAAGCTTATTTTGAACTGCACCGCTGCTATGTTTGTTAATGAAAAATTAGGTTGGAAAAAAGCTAGTGGCCTGTTAGACCAGGAAGTGATATCAATCCATGAACTTACTTTAGATTACGATAACAATTTTTATATGAGAAAATCATCATATGCAGAATTTGAAACGACTTATGTATAACACAAAATAAGTAACCAATGATAATCTCATTTATTAGTAAATTTTTGCTCAACCTTTTATTCCTACAATCATACTCGTATTCATTTCTCAGCTGTATGATTTTGCAAAACTCTGTTGTAAGTAGTTATTATTAGTAATATTATATGTTCCAAATACAACTAAATGTTAACTAATCAAGTCTGATCATTCAATACAAAGTACTTTTTTGTCTTAATCGGACCATAATTTATAGTAATATTCAAATAGAAATTTTTGAGTACAATATCGATCTCAATTTCTGATTATGCTATTTATTTTCTTGTATAAATATATATATATAATATCACGAAAGAATATTTGAGTAAACAATTACTTCGGATCACTTCCTCTTCAAATTCTACTGTTATAAATCCTTAATGATTGTATAACATTAGAAATAATATTCAAGTTTCTTTTGCAAAATTAGGATAGAATGTCTTAGTTGTTTATGATCAAATAAGTAAATGAATGATTAGAATGGATTCGCTTTCACTGAGAAGTTATATTGTATTGAAATATAATTAATTATCTATATGTGTATTTTATATATTATCCAGTAAACACCCCATTGCCAATATAGTTTGATTGAAAACGTAACGGAATACGTTGATTAAATACAGTCTATAATTTACTCCGAAAGTTAACTCATTAACTGACTCATATCATTATTAGTAATAATGTGAAATGTCTCGATTGTTGATATTAAGGATTGAATTTCGATCAGTTTTAATTGATATAAGAGCATCTTTTGCGGATTCTCACTACATAACCTTTATGTCACAAGTTATTTGAAATATATTGATTTTGGTTAGCAACAGAATCTAGGACACGTGTTCTGTCCTATTTTGAACTGGTCAGCTGGATTCACTTCGTGTTAACATCAGCATTGAGATCCAGGTACATTCAGCTGACGAGTCCTAAATATGAGTGACAATAATCAACCACATTTCTTCAAAACATAACATTAGACCTACAGTCTAAGTAGTCAAATCTTTAATGAAGGATCTCTATGCTTGTTTGATTTCTATGATTTCCTCTATCCTAGAATTCCGAAGCCTAACGATAAAACATTAAAAGATTTGTATATAAAACACAGTACTAGAATAATCTTTCAAAGATATTGGATATTTGTTTTTGACAATTTAATTTTCCATAACACTGGTTCTGCTTTTTGTTTGAGCGCTTATGTAACCTAGCAGAAAAACAATGTTTTAAAACCCATCTGTCTGTTTTATATCCGAATTAAATCGGTCAACCTGATTCTGTGCTTAATGCTGTAATCCATACATTTCACTATGATAATGGATGGAACACTGTTATTCTATTTCATGTCAGTTTATTCACTAGTTGTGAAAACACAGTTATTATTTTAAAAAACTATGAAGAAATTAAATGTTGTATGTCCGATTTTCCCCTCCCTCCTTTCTAAAAAAATGATAACAAATATTGCTGAAGTTGTAGGAAGAAAAATATTAATTTATCCTTATTATTGGATGTACTAAACGCTAATACGATTTCGAAAGATTCTGTTACTAGAGTTTTTTTACAAATCGAAATTAGTTTTTAGGATTGTTATTCTGTTTTGTATCCTACTGTACAATGTCATCTACGTTGTTGCCTGATATTTTCTCAACAACTCCTGTTATTTAATTACCCAACAGCTTGACAAACATTACCGACTATTCTAAGCTGTTTACTAATCACACGGAATTCAATTTTTATGTTTGTTGTAAATAGCAAAACTTGCAGGACAAAACGTCTGTTATTAGGTAACTCTGTAGCTTGGAATGTAACTCTGATTTCCACTTTATTGTTCCCACTAAAAGTAACAAAATAACATACCACCATGTTGCCACTTTGAATCCTAATTTTAATTTTAACTTTACAACAAATCTGTATAATTCAAACTAACAAACTTCAACTGTCTGAACATTATAAGAAGTATAATCATTCTTCTTCTTCTTCTTCTTCTTCTCATATCAGACGACCATTTATTCGAGTAATTGTTAACAAGTTAGACTAACACGATTTCGTACTCTCTTATTAGCCGATTCGATAGAAATATTCAAATGATATTGAATACATTCATCATACAGAAGCAAAGCAGACAGGACAAATCAACCCATATATATATATATATATATATATATATATATATATATATATATATATATATATATATATATAGCGTCAAAAATGCAGCGTAGTACTATATAAGTACTGAATGAATGAGACGATATAGATAGATAAAGGGATGACTTAATCAAACCATACTTTCTGAAAAAAATTTAAATGAAAAGCAGACGACAAAAGTGATGAGGTATGAAGAGGTGCATTCAACAGAATCTATCACAGACCAATTAGAACATCTAAATATCATATGATATTTCAATCCTAATCAAAATAGATTCACATAATAGAATCTGACTAATAAATCATATTCAAAACAACTAGTCCCTTGAATACATCTGGATAATGCAATGAAAAGACGGAGATTATTAGGACTACATGGTATATAATAATAATAATAATAATAATAATAACAAATCACAGCCAGATAGATTTTTTAAAAGTGGTTTTAAAAAAAGTAGTAATATTAACAAGTCTCAGTATACACTACTTAAAAGAACCTAATTAAGAATACTGAGATTATGAAGATGATAGTAACGCCAAACTAAAATATGTAAAATATATATTGAAAACTGCTACAATTTTAGCAAAAAAGAGATTCTATATTATTTCCGTACATAAAAAGTAAGAAAAAAAAACAATGAATAAAAGTTCTTGTAGAGTAATGATTGAATAATAACAGTTTATATTACATTCTCTTGAGAGGTAATCATCATAAAAGTTAGACAGATACTCATTTACAAAAAGTAAGTACACACTTGAGTAGATCTGATCAATTCATGATATATATATATATATATAAAGAGAGAGAGAGGTATAACCACTGAACAAACGTTTTCTTTTTTCTTTCTTTTCTTTTTTAAAAAAAAGCAGTAATTGTCACAATAAAAATGTTACTCTTAAGAAAAAAGGATAGTAAAACTGAGTCGAGAAAAAAAAGACAAATATGATAGAAAAAGGAAAGATATTTTATACATTTGTTATTATTCCTGGGTTTTTTTTCCTGATCAAACACTAATGTAATTGTCAAAATGAAAGAAAAATCATTGGATCCTTTTATTTATGTATGATGTATATCAAACAACGTAGCATTGAACCTCCTGTTTTGAAAACATAAATTAAGCACAGAAAATAGATTTTAAAAAGTTATTCAATTCATTGTCATAGTTCTCAATAGTAAAAATGACTATCAATATAATTGATATGATATGATACTGTATTATATAGTTTTATCCTTTCGACTAAAATTAGTTTTCATAAATGATTTTGTAACATAACACTAGGATATTAACATTTTGAAAGAACAAATCGAGATTTATTTCATACAGGTTTCATCCTATCAATAAAATTAAATGTGGAAATAGAAAAAAAATTTATAACAAAGTAATTAAATATTATTGTGGTGTATGTTACGGATGTTGACAAATATGAGTAGGATTTATTCCCAACCAGAAGTGGAATGCTTGGTGGCAAAAGGTTGAGAAAAGAGAAGAGAAGAGAACAAGAACAAAGAGTGATAAGTATAGAAACGAATGAACAACAAAATCTGAGACAATTGATGAATATTTTGCAAATAAACTATTTACTGTATAGTTTTCAGATTTTACTAAAAAAATTCTGTAATTTTGTACTTAAATACATTTGGTTGTCCCCGCCTGTGTTCACATTCATTACATTATTATTGATATGTACAGGATTAATATGAACTAATATTAAATCGTGATCGGGTGATTAAGGAATGGTTATGATGTCGAATAAATAATTACTACAAGATAACGACAAATGTTTAGCAAATGCCTGTTTTTTTCAGTTAAACAATATGCGTATATAGAAGATATTTAACACGAACATAAACATTATTTCAAGTTATTCAATAAATTTATACGATCGTAGCTTAAGAGTTCTTGGTAATCAATTTACAGTTATTATTAATAACATTTACTTAATTCTTATCTCATGAAATACTGTCGGATATATAAATTGTAACGTTGTCAAGTTGTCGAAATTCTTATAATTCAACTGGTTTTATTGCAATTCTTTAGGCAGTAGATGTATTGATACAACAGAATACATATGATCACCGTATGGATGATAAGTGAATCTATAATCCATATTGTGTTCATTCTCCTATTTTTTTAAATTTTAAATATATCATATTTTCTTAGATAGAGAAGTATTAATAATTGGATTACGTATGCTACTGAGCAAGTGTTTTGTGGAAATTTATTGAGCCAACCTTCAGCTAGAGTATTAGAGATTTAATTCTTGAATTTACTGTTTCTTGTTACTTTTGTGCTACAGTAATAAGACTTAGGGTTGGAAGGGGGTATTTCTGAAAATTTCATCACAGAACTACTGAAGAGATTGTAAAGGATTAGTTTGCTAAAAAAACTGACTGATTGTTTCTTCAGAAACCTTCCGTTATTTCAGCGATAAATGTAACAAGATAATTGTTAACTGTATGCATAATCTTACGTATTTGAGCCACTTTATAAGTTTTTATCAACAATTTTCGAGTACGAGTTGAAATGAACAATAAGAGTTAGTAATAAATATATTTTTTGTTACATCCCAAGGAGTAAAAAAATTGTATTTCTGACGCTTCTTCAAAATAAATAAGCGACCGATTAAATTAACACAAGTCTGAATAGGATAAAGGAGACAATAAGGGTGTATTTGTTGGGTCGGCTTCCGGAGAACTTCAACAGAGCCTCCAGAGGCCCAAAAAGGAGCCGAAGGGCCCTAGCCAATCAGAGTATGATGGAACGTTCAAAAATTCCAGCGTGGCGTGCTATCATTGGTCGGTAGCATAATATGACGTTAACGGATTGGCTGAAATATGATGTTGATTTAACAGACGCCAACATCTAGAAATACCCTTGATTTTCTGTACTAAAATGAACCTTGGGATAAAGTATTTCCTCTCATACTTGTGTCTTCTCTCTGGTGAGGGTTACGGGAATAGCTTAGGAAACTAATATAGCGTTCAACCTACATGACTTATCAGTATTTGAGTAGCTTTATCATTCAGGAAGTGTGTTTTCACACAACACAACACATTCATAATTAAAACCCAACTGATATCACTGATAATAATTTTAAAATAATATGTAAAAGATTATCGCTGATTATTATTGGCTGTTTAACGAATATTGATTTAAGATAGAGACTAAATATTAACAACGCAGCAATCGGAAATCGTTTAACGTACAAAGATATTGATTGTTTCTGCACTTGAAAATAACTAAAAGGTGCAGACGTTTTCATAGATCCAGTCGTTCAGCTTCTGAAACCAATAATCTTAAAGGCAAATAAATAATAACCTTTGACTAACGTAAACAGTAAAATCCAGTTTAAAGCTCTTTCACGATTGCTGTCGATCCCAAGCCAAGATAAAGGAGGGTTAGGCATACGGTTAGTAACCCTATGCCATAGAAAACAATTTTGCTACAAAAACCACTAGCCAAAACAAATAATTTAAACCACTTAAACTCTGTCCTCCGAGTTTAAAAAAGAATTATGACGCCTCATGACGAAAGCTGAGATTATTCGGAAGTCACGAGGCCCATGCTTTCTGTAACAACCAAACCAACAACTAATATGGGTACATTGGTAGAACAAGGTGATTACTTATCTGGACTCTTATTTTTAAATTGACTTAACAACAAGAGTAACAATTAATATAGGTAAACCGAAGGTCTGGACAATGTGACAGACCGAAAGGATTACTCAAATAGCAACGGAAACTAGGAGATACAACTTGACAGTACTCAGAATCATTGAAACCCATCGGCCCAAAGCTGGACAGAAAATGATAGATTCGGGAGAGATGCTGTTGTACTTTGACCACGAGGATGGAAATGCTCCGCACAATCATGGAATTGCCCTGATGCTTTTCAATGAACCATGTAAAACACTCATGGGATGGGAATTTCATGGATCCAGAATCACCAAAGCACCCTTCAAAACATAGAAGGACGGGATCGCAATATTATCCAGTGTTATGCACCAACTAATAATAGCAATGAAGACGATAAAGTTCAGTTTTATGAGAGGCTGCAATCGGTCGTAGTGAAGTGATCAGGAAAGAACCTGACCATCCTGATGGTAGACTTAAACACCAAAGTCTGAATGGGCAACACTGGATATGAAGATATTATGGGACAATATGGACTGACTGGGAGAAAGGAATGAGAATGTTGAGAGATTTGAAAATTTATGTGCACTCGACAAAACGTTTATATGTGGCATCATATTTCCCACAAGTGAATACACAAAGTTACAGATGACGTAACTCTTAAATGCCATACACATCTACAAATGAAGGTGAAGACAGTTAATGTAATAACAATCTCTGCAGGCCTCAGCATACACAAGGGAATAAGCAAGTTCCTGAAATAAAACACAGAAAGCACCAACCCAATCACATTTGCGGAAATCACCAAACTGCATCACGAGGCAAACCCCAACATGGAGTCCTCAAGGCAAAAAGAAAGGTGGCAGACAAAAGATTACATTGAACTGAGTATTGAAGGGCAACATCAAAGGGATGAATAGCATTTGAAAACAACTGGGAAGGAGAGCTCAGGTTAGAGTTGGATGGGTAATCTTAGTCGGCACCCTATGCTGTATAGGGAGGTAAAGGAGTAAGTAATCAAATAAGTAACGTATACAGTAAGGAATTCCAAACAGCAATTCATCGAGATCTTAGTGATCAAATTGAGAAAAGATTAGCAGTGGATACAGGATAACAAAAATAACTTGACAAGAGAAAAAAGAAAAGTTCAAAAATAAATTATTCGTCAAAGATTTACATTGTAATTATTGTTATTATATCCAATTGAAATAATTTGTTCCCCAGAAACAGTGATGAATCTCAATTGAAGTGATCTTGCGATATATAAGTAGAACGAATATATTTAAAAAAATTGAGCGAGAAAATAATTAACAAAGTAACACTTTAAAAACTTACATAGCTAAAAGTGTGTGTTAATCCCACATTTTTCGTTGGTATCTCTTTTTAAACAGCGTTTTCTCAGACTGATTGAATTACTTACAGTATCCGTATGAACTGATTTCTTAAGTAGTTTGTTAACTGATGGTTCAATATTTTTTAAGAAACCATTCGTATAACGATGACTTTTATCTTTGTATAAAATTTCTTTAGCCCATTCTGGAATCGGTTGCTTACTATAACAAATTCCTATTTCTTCAGAAACTTGCTCGATTATGTCTAATGCCTGAATAACAGAAATTTAAACATCAAAAAACAAATATCATTTAATTTTGTAGTTAGAAATAAAACACAATCCATATCGAGATCTGAAAACCATTAAGTTAGAACAATAAGTACTATCCGTAAATAATCATATACTGTTGACATAAATCAATTGTCATATATGCTTTGTGATCACACTCCGAAGTCACACAGACTACTAACGATTACCAATCTTTATTTACGAGTTCCACCTAAAGCACTTCCCTTCGTGATGTCAGAAAACAAGGAGTTTCAATATCTCACACACTCCAACTAGTGTTCAACTTTATATATTCATCTTCATCAAACTCTTTCCTCATTTCTCACTAGTTTTTCTGTCCTTGTTGACAACATATCTTTGATCCAGTTGTCTTTTTCACGCTCAACCAATGTTAACGATTTTGGATAATGGAATGTTATCCATTTTCTGCTGGAATTTTTATTACACTACATGTTGGAGCCTTCAATTTTTAGACCATGTATCAAATCAAACTATAGAGCTCATCAGTCAAGATTTTGAAATTTCGCTTCATTGATGCATTGTGTGTGTCTAAAACTCACATACAGGACCAACACACAGTCGTTCAATTGACCTCATATAACCAGTGCGGAAAGCTGCTCAAGTTACGAATTAAGTACACCCAGACACGTATGAATGTAGCACTAACTCCAGTAGCATAACATTCATGGACTATATTTTTGATTATAGTCACTTGTGAATGAATGGCTCTGTAAGAACTTAGAAACACATCATCACTTGTCTGTCATCCCTGTCCCCACTACCATCGAGTGCGACTCAAAAGAATTAAAACTGAGATCCACAGACATCTGTTACCATCCTAAAGTTCTATGTTAGGAAAGCTTAGTGGGTTTTGGTAGCTTCTGATGAATTGTTGGGTCGCCTTGAACTCAGCGCAACCTTCTGAAACATGGTGATGAACAGAGGCAAACTAAAGGGTAGAATGACAAAAGTTTTCTCAAAGAGCGTAAGCAGTTGTTTCCAACGTTTATCGAGGAAATGGAGAGAACAGTAATAACAGATAACATTAGACAGCTTGTTTGAACTCATTCATGAGACTGGTAATACAAAGCCGCTTGCAAGAGAAAGTATCTTTGAAAAAAACAACTAAGATTCACTCTTGGACCAAATGATTATAATATTGCCATCTATCTACTCTCCAGTCATTTATTATCCACGAACATCCTGAATGAAAAATCGACATAGACCTCGTTTTTCAAAGTTTAATGAATAAAAATATGTAAGATCTATTAAGCTAATTCCAAGGATCTCTAAGAATGATAACCTGATATTATCAGTAAAATTAACTGAGATATATAGTATAGCCATAGAGTCAAACATAACTTTAGCTGACTACTTTTGATCATGGATATCTATTATTAGTAGTTAGTGTAAAATAAATGAAAAAAACTCACCCTGTCTAATAACTCTCGTGTATGTGCTGATGAAATGCAAAATCGTACCCTGGATAAAAGCAGAGTTGTAGCTGGAAAACCAACGACTACAGTTCCTAATCCTAATTCTAAACATCTACGCGAAAAGGCAACTAGTTTAGCTGGCATATAAACGATAACTGGTACAACAGGGCTATCACGATTCCCATAAACAATTAAGCGCATTTCATGTAATCTTGCACGAAAATAACGTATATTCTCAGCTAAACATTTAATTCTGAAATGATAAAAAATAAAAACATAAGACCAAACAATTCAGAGACTATATGTGTAACTTTGAAATAGTAAATATTCAAACATGATTGCAAACAATGTCATCACATATTTAAAGTAATGCTTGTATTTCGATTTCGTTTTAGTGGTTAAGCTGTAACTTTTTATCAAATAACCTTAAGATTACAGGTTCTAACTCATGAAGAGAGAAAGTAAAGATCTACTAAGAAATGTCTGTTTTATACAGGAACGATTTATATAAATTTTGAATTTGGCCCCTATTGAAACTTCTACTTATGAGAATATGTTTTCAACCGAGCTGTTTTACGATCAAATGCCTGTTCTTGTTTGTGTTAATCTGATACTTTCTTAGAATTACATATCAACGTGTCGTAGATCTGATAAATTTAAGCAACTCAAACATTAGATACTCCGCGGACGATTCAACTGTAAATTCGACATCTACGGTTTACGACATCTCATTTAAATCTTGTTAATTAGTGAAATATGATTTTGGAATTAATATAATAAACATCTAAATACAATAAACATAGCATGCGGGTAGTGGTACGGTAATCCAGCCAATTAACGTTGGTAAATCCTTATTTAGTAAAGCCGGTGTAGAGTTTCTGGAATTGGTTTCCATGTTTTCAAGGCTCACAAAACCATCACGTGAACGTGATTTCGTGGGAAATGGATACTCCTAAGTTTGCGCGCGGGCTTCGCACCATAGACAGGTATACGTTGTATGCATACCAGTAGCATACAAGTTTCCACCCATGTATCTCTTGTTACGCACTTGGTTACAATCCCTATGGGAGCAAATATGTTTTACATACATACTGGTAACATACTCTTTTTCACTCAACCTCCAATAGCATACATAAAGGTATATTCAAACAACTGAAATAGTGGACGGTTACCATTTCCTTCCAACGTATATGCTAAAACTGACTGTTTCTTACTCATTATATGCACACCACTAGTACGAAGACCTTTGTTCATGCACTTCGTGACATACACATAGGCATAAACACTCTCACTTCTCCCTAATATTTGCTACCTCATATTTTTTATGTCTTCGAACTGTTGGTATAGGCCGCTGATTTCATTAGATTTAAAGCAGACATTTCAAATTGCGTTCCTTTTGCGAACCAGGTAACTACCCTTTGTATATACCTACATACACAACTACACAAGCCAATCTTCATGCAATTCATATACATAAGCATGCACATCATGTAACACGCAAGGTTTGAGAGTGTCAATGTTGGATACCCAGATTTATCCAGTTTACAGCAGGGTGGGGGACTAGTCTGATTTCCACCGACCGCCAAAGTTAGCTAGCAAGTTTACTCTTACTACCCAAAAGTAACACTTGTAGGCCTCAAATCTTAGTACACGAATACTTAAATTATAAGCTCAACTATTCACCAATGTACGTCAGTGAAACAAATTTTATCAATAGACAGATATTCTGTGCGGTTCAGGGGCAATTGTAAACATTTTACGTACACTAGTTTCTCATAGTCTCAGTAATTTATCATATATACTAACTACAATAATCTTAATCAATAACCTCATTTGTTAATTACACATTTGAACGAGTTCGGTGATAGCACAGCGGATAGTCACTTTATTGTCTATGACTTGGTTACTCTCAGTACTTAAAATCGTGACATTAAACAATACACTTAAAGTTAAATTTGTATTCCGTTGTATAAATAAAAGTTTATAGTTTTCATCATATGACAGTGTTAATTCCTTTTAATATCATCTACAAAACAGTACTATATATTCGGATAAGAATTTAATTATTTTCGTGTCACTAGGGTTCTGTATGAGATTTTAATATCATAGCTTTTTCATCGATGAGGTTTACTAGTTATAAAAAATCAAGGATAAAAAGAAAGGGAACCTGAGGCTTATAGTTTTACTATTATACGTTTCGAAATATTAATTATGATTAAATCCGAATGAGATTATTCGCCAGTGAAATGCAGTCTTATTAACCGGTCAAAATTCATTAGAATCCTGAAACAAATTTTAAATATCTTCATCTCAGTATGGAGTTGTGGATAAATCACTGATTTAGAATCTTATACTCGCCTTGAGGAGTTGAGTGTTAAGACTGAATGAAACGAGATATCGTGTTCTGATTTAATGATATTCGTTGAAAGTTCGTTTGTATTCAGTGAAGAATCCATTTTCACCTTCCCACTATTACAGGTATTTGTGATATTCAATGACTAATTATCACATCCCAGTAATATCTGGACATAAAGCAGTATATTTGGTTGATAGGTTATCGTATTTTTGTAGGGTGAATAAAATCTTCATCTGACATCAATTTTTATCCCCTTCCTTCGAGCACACGAATCTCAGTTTTTGTTATTTCAAATACCAGCTATCAGCTGCCAAGACATAGGGTCAAATAATCTATCTTCATGTAAGAAATATACCATACGAACTTATTGCAAGGTTACTTAGTTATTTCACACATCATCGTTAATTTTAATAAATATTTGAGTAGTTTATCAACATGATCTTCATTCCATGTATGTAGAAATAGTAGGCAAGCCCTAACTCGCAGTTCTCAAGATGAAAGGGAAAGAGGCAGACAAAAGAACACATTGAACCGGGAACTGGAAGGCGATATCAAAGGAATGAATAGCATTTAGAAACAGCTGGAAAGGAGAGCCAAAGTCAGAGTTGGTTGGAGAATCTTGGTCGGTGGCCTATGCCCGACAAGAAGTAACAGGTGTAACATATTGAACATATGTAGAAACAGTAAGCAAAACAAAGTACAAATAATAGTGTTCTAAGAATAATGTTTAGGTATTCAGCATTCATTCGTAACAAGAATATCATAAATTCATTCGGAATTTAACCACAGTCATTTAATTACCAGTTTATATTTTGTGTTTACGTAAAATATACTTCGTTTGCTAACCAACACATGCATACAAATATGCTAATATTGGGATAGGCTAAGACCCACCTAATGATGATTCAAGCATTACAAAAAGCTATATTTGTATGCTCAACAAAAGCTGAGCATAAAAGATGATAACTAACGTTTTCTGTTTAATGAACATAAAGAAGGTGGATAATAAGAAAATCATTTAGAGATATCAGTTTTCTCATGTACAATCACTAACATTTGATTAATTATGGAGACAGATTGTGTCACTTGTAAGCATTCTGTTATATACGATTTGGTTTACCTAAAGGGGACCTGTTTGTATGCTGAATTACTTACAAACCGTCAATTCACTATGGATAATGCAACAATATAGCTGCATATATTTTAGCTGAAGGTTTAATTTCAGCCGTTTTACCGATATAAGTATATTGTGAATGCATATAATGATATATTTAATTGCCAGCATTGATTATGTGAGGAAACAGTATTTTATTGAAATGTTTAGCAGAAATACTAAAACGTAAATTATATTAAAGTAACTAATAAATTTATATACATAACAGTAATGTAATTAATTTACCTTCGTTCACCTTCACCAGGTACATCTTTTCCCATGATAATTCTTATGGATGATATAATTTGTTGAGCTAGCGGTGCTGGCATACTACAACCATATACAGTATTATATGACATCGAGCGAAGATAGTCAATTAACTTGCGATTTCCAGCTATGTATCCACCAGATGAACCGAAACTCTTCGTAAATGTACCCATTGAAATATCAATATCACGTGGATCAACACCAAAGTAATCAGCCACACCACGACCCATTTGACCTAATGCACCAATACTATGTGCCTCATCCAAATAAAGATAAGCATTATATTTCTTCTTTAAGGCGATTACTTCGGGAAGATGAAGAATACTTCCTTCCATACTGTGTAAATACACATACATAATCAAAAATGTATATGAGCTAAAATTATAGCATTTGAATGAGAATTGAATTTAGTGTTTTAAATAATCGTATTAAAATGCTACTACAGAGAAACATGAGATCGGTAATTATTAAATACCCTTATAATAATAAGAAATAATTTGTAACCTTAATTGTTATTACTACTTTCTAGTGTTAGGGGTTTGTGAAGATTTTTAAATTTTATTGTTCGAAACGCGTACGGACCTTAGTTAACAGCAAAGCTGTTTTATTCTACTTTGTGACTTCTGAAAATTGTGCATTTATGATCCCACCGAGTATCAAATCTAGGTCTTCCAAGTTTTGTAACAAACAATTAGCTTTTAATTGAGATCATGAACCGATTGATGTTAGACCACCTTTGAAAACCTGGAAGCACTGGATGGCCGTTTCATCTTATTGTGGGACTCCTCAGCAGTGCGAGTCTACGATCCCGCTCGCGGGATTCCGTCTTGTGCGCAAACACTTAACCTACTGGACCACTGAGCCGGCATCCAATGGTGATAGTGTCCAACATTAGCTTTTAGACTACTAAGTCAACATCAAATGACTTACAATTCTAACTTTCCGGTTCTTAATAGTTGTCTAAGATTAGTTTGTAATTCAAACTGTCAAATTCTTTCTCAATTGTATAAATAACAAACTGAATATTATGTTCAGTAAGATTATACTGTTTATTAGACATAAGAACAGTACTATATAATGTTATTCTCATCGGTTCAATAAGAATTATATTCTACCAAATAAAGATTGTCACAGTAAAAAAAGTATAAAGTATATTCAATAGTCTCTTACATTCATTTACATTGATTAACAGTAATAACCATGATATTGTACTCTTTCTTTAGAAATCATTTTTTTACTGTATTTTTGGTAAGTAATTTACATGTATTGAAAAATCATTTATTTTAATCAGTACAAATACATAAATAATTATAATTTAATATAATACTTGCTAGTTATTACCATTAAAAAAAGATATCAATAATGTTAAGATAACTCTTCTGATAAACCATGTAAGATTAATGAAGATAATGAATCCTTTCGTTGAATATTTCATGTTATCACGTACTTTTTAAACAATCATTTAAGTAGTATAGCTTACAACTTCTGCTAGGATCTATCAGTCTCACGTGCAAGTGCTTAACCATTAGACCACTGGGCTGGCATCCAACGGTGTCAATGTCTAATTTCAACCAATCCACGAAATTGCGCCACCGTGCACCATTGTCTTCAATCAGCTGATATCTCGCAACAGACCTGGTTGAACTCCACTGGTAACGACTTCTCACTAGAACTCCAGGAAATGCCTCTTAAAGTCAGTCACCAGTGGGCAGATGATTATGATCAGAAGGGGTTTTGTGAAGATTTTAGTAATCTCAATAGTTGGAATCATGAGTCAACTGAATTATTTTTATAAGCCATTTAAACTTTAATCTCTATACACTTACGATACTTAGTTTAGATTAACTGAAAAAAACTATGGTGATACATTATACTGTGTAGGTTGTCATAATAAACTATTCATTATATCATTTCTACTTCTAACTAGTCGTTCTATCCACCTACAATAGACTAAAATACTTCAAGTAAACAAGATAAATTGGATAATTATCTCAAAGGCAATATAATTCATAAAAACAAAGATTTATTTATCAGGCCACTAATTATTATGAAACTTTAGAAGGTTGTACATAAATTCTAGAAAAATATCACATGTCTATGAACAACACAAAATGGATTGTACAAACAACTCCAATAGAATACATGTCAAGCGCTATTCAATGATACTGGAAATTGTTTAGATCTAGAGATATTTAATACCAACTATTTCTTGTGGAATATTTATATTGAAGTACAAATTCAACTCAACGTAAAAAATCAGTCTGGGAATAAATGAGCAAAAACAATGTAAGAAACAATAAATATTGGGTCATTTTCGAATAATTGAAAATATATTAAGTTGTATAATTTCATTAACAAATAAATAAGAGAAAATAGAAAAATGATTTAAAAAGCATTTTGAAATCAAAGAACAAACATGAGCACAGATTTATTAAATAATTTTTTAATAATGTTATTTCATGAGATTAATAGCTTTCAGGATAACAATTATAAGTTATCCAACTATATCACTTCAATGTCAGTCAGTCAGTTAGTCAGTAACAACGTAGAACTTCGTACGTACGTACATCAGATCGAGTTGCCACACCACATTAGCACAGAGATGCAGTTGTCGATTCAAATCCTGTAGTGGTAGAGGTAATAAGAGTATAAGCAGTAATCGGGAAGATTAGGGTTTGGAGATGTTATTCAAAGAGTATAATCCAGTGAAATAAATTTGGAAAGAGGAAAAAAGGGACATGAAGAATTCAGAAGATTAGAATTTGGGAGATTACAGAGAGTGGATGCGCCTGCGCCATTGCAAACGATTTTGAGCCATGTCATTCAGGGTCTCTAACCATCGGTTGCTATCATCTCGCAGTCCCCAACCAGGTAGTCTACACCTACCAACATGACTCAGTTCACTTGTCAGTGACTTCATGGACTTGTGCCATGTTTTGGTTTGGCCGCCCCTAGCTTTCTTCCAACCTACTCCTATACCACTGAACATAGCACGTCGAGGCAGTCGGTCGTTGGGCATACGTAACACGTGTCCCAGCCATCTCAACTGATGAAGTTGTTAGAATAGTCGGAAAAATAGACCAATAATTATCATGTTAAGTCCAATGGTGTCCTTGGACCTTAAATGTACATTTCCCATTGGTCGATATTTATTTAACGTGTTATTTTCCTGTTGGCCAATATTGTACAATGTTATTTTCTACTTTGTGGTACGTTGTGGTCTGCTTGACTAGTATATAAACAAAGTATGTTTGAAATATAATGATTCATAACTCCGAGGCTGTGACTTGTGTTCTTGACTCAACTGGCTAGGGCAGACAGCGAAGCAGGGCCAATTAGGGCACTAGGTCGTCCTTACATGTTTACGTGTCCACTGTCACCGAATCGATCGACAAATAAACGCTGCGTATCAAACCCTGCAGTCACACCCGTTACAACAGAAGTTTCACTACTTCATCAATTGATTCACTTCAATGTACATTTGTGGTGTATGCTACTTATGTTTGTCAACATAAGTAGTATGTAACACCTATCAGAAGTGAAAAACCTGGCAGCAGAAGACTAAGAAGATCGAGTTGAAGAGAATGGAAGGCAAAATAGAAGGGAATTATGGACCGAAAGAATCATACAGAATGTAAATGATAGATGATGGAAATTTGCAAATGAAGTATTCAGTGTATGATTCTCAAATCTCATCAATCGATTCTGAGGATCTCTCCTTAAGGTTTTAAAGAGATCAAACAAAGTCAGTAAAAAATCGGTTTTATCAAATTTGGTTAGTAGTATTTCTGTAGACGGTAGAACTAGATCATTCAGAATAATTTATCAAATACCTTTCATTTTCTCCAGAGAAGTTCAACTTGGTTTTTTTAATATAGAAGAAGCTATGGGGATTCGAGCTAAAAACCCTAGTTTTTGTAATATCCATATCACTTACCTAGTCAGAAGAAACTTTACTGATATTTTTACCATTTTTTGATAATGTTTGTTTATTTCCCGTCACCTCTTCTATACCTTTGCTTTACTCATGTATTTTTAGAAGTATTACGTGAAGATTATTCTCTTACGTTTGACTAACACTTATAACTTTAAAATACTTGTTCATGTTAACATGTTATTTTATCATTTGACTGATCACTATCATATCTATAATTAAATTGCAAATCGGACTGCATAAGTTCATTGGTTATATATATATATGATTTTCAGGCTCAAATTATATCAATTATTAAGCACAAAATGATGAAAAGATGTGTACTTATAGTAGTATATTTAGTAATATTTAAGAAAAATGAAAGGTCAGTTCATTTGTCATTCATCTTTTCAGCATTTATTGCTGATTAATTGATTTAATTTGAGTCCTAAAATTGTTAAATACAGTATGAAGTGACACAAAGTGTTCCCGGTTGAATTTCTAGACAGCCTGTCACTGATCAAATCAAATAATAATGCAACAGTCATCAATTCAATCATAAAATCAAATTTATGAACTTAATATATAGTATTAAAATGTTTCGTAACTAAGAAACACATTGCACTCATTGTTGATTTTCATGAGTCGTTAAAGTAATAATAGAACGAATTATGATAGAAACATCGTTTAAACTAGCTAAACAATCCTGTGGTTCATTCATTTCAGCGACGAAACCGTAATTTGTGGATGAACCAATCAGATATTAGATAAGAGATCCTGGAATTCGGCTCTAAATTCATTCATACATTTGGCTAAATAGCGTTTTGGCATTTTATCTGATGTCAATCAGTGGTGAAAACCCTAAATCTAATTCCTAATCATCAACTGTAAATCATAATCTTGATTCCTGACACTGGTGTATAACCGTCATTTAGTCCTAGTTAGTAGATGAACATTCTCTAGGTCACTTTAATGTCGCTCAAAGGTCGTCCATAAATTATGGTCTCATCCATTTTATATTGTATACCTCACTCAATTTCAATTTTGTGACCGTACAGTTTAACTAGTAATAAACATCGAGCTAGAAATACTATTCAAATAAAAGTAGATATACTTGTCGCATGATATTATGTGAAAAGTGTGAAGATAATCATTTGATAACAATTAAAGTGAAAGTGGGCTTGCTTCGTGATAGGAAATGAACGAGAGATAACATTTGTGTTATTGGGTTAATGCTTAAAAGAAACCGAATAATTTAATAAAAATGAGCTTAAATTATTTTGGTTTTTTATATAGACAAATGGCACAGTTCAAGAAAAAAACAAATTAACTACAAATATTTACCTGTATATACCTTCAACTACAATCAAGATCTTTTTATATGGTCTGTGGGTACGCGGACGACCATAAACAACAGAATCTTGCAGAATTTTTTCCAAATCTTCCATATCATTATGTTTAAAACGACGTATAGTTGCTCCCGACAATCGACATCCCAAGACTAGACTTGTATGATTTAATTCATCACTGACTACACAGCAATCCTAGAACAATAAATCGATAAGAACAAGTAAAAGAACTTGAATAAATTCAACAGTAAATACAATTTATCAAACTGATATATGTGCACACTCAGATGATTCACTTAATACGAACTAGTAATTTAAATCAATGTATTATGAATGTAGTTTCCTTGTAATTGAAAAGCATACCATAGTCTCACCTCAATCTCACGCGATTCTAGCCTCAAGGTTAAACCAGTCAGTCTATCGTGTCAAGGATTTAATCTAGATGGAGACAAGCTATCTTCTGTATATTGGTGGGTAGATAGATCAAGGACATAACAGATATCTTCATAATCATAAACTATTTAAGTTGAAACGAGGATAGGAATGAATGACTTAATACTGTGTTCATCATTTCGGAAACAATTAACCTAACCTTTTAAACCTAAAAACGAGTAAAGAGGAATTTATATTACGCTAAACAGTCTAATTTTTAACACCTCAGAATCCATCCGATAAGTAGTTGAAATCTTAATAGTTAACATTTAATAAAAATTCAAGTGTGCCTTTTAACGTCAGTCAATTCCCAATAAACAGAAAATCTTTAATCAGTAATACTTAGTATCTTCTATGATAGTGTCTATATTAGTCAGATTCACTTCTTATTCAAATAGATAAGATGAAATAAAATTAAGAGCTTAGAAAATAATGCACAAATGGCAATTTAAACCCATTATGTAATTATGATATTTGAATATCACAGGTTGTAAGCAGCTGACGAGAACCTACGAAATAAAATGAATTCGTGCTATTCTGCTAGAATCTTTGTTCTTGCTCTTTTCAAAATGATAAAGGGAACTATGTGTATGAAACAAATAACTGAATTGAAAAAGTCATATTATTATGTAATTTACTGTATAATTTACTGTGTAATTGAATAAATATATATTTGTTTACATATAGACAATTAAAATGTCAATTAATTGATTCATTTCACTGTTTTTAATCAGTAAACAAATCAATAATATTCATGTGAGCAACAAAAAAAGGTTAAACACTAGTGAGTGAAGTTAAAAATGTTTCCATTTTCTATAAGACAGAAAGCACCATTAAAACTAATATCAATTTATGTACAAAATGAGTTAAGAGAAACTAAAGAACATAAAATACTAATGATTGATAAACAAATGCATTGTCAACATTTATAAAAAGTAGTGTAGAATACTTAACAATGTACTTGTAATAATCTGGACAATTGTTATTATTACATAGTAGTTTCATGGGTGTTCGGACACAAGTAACATTTTAATTTTGTAGATTCAAATAAGTATTATGATGGCTATCAGGACTCAGTAGCTAAGTGGATAACGCGATGGCGTTTGAAGCGAACGGTACTGAGTTCGAATCCCATAGTGAACATCAACTCTGAGATGCAGGTACATCCAGCTGACGAGTCCCAAACAGGACGAAACGCGCATCCTGCATTCCACTGCTAGCCACTATCCATCTTTGCTTATAATGCTTGTAAATTAAGGCAATATTGAGGCATACGCAAAGTATGCACATATGCCAATAAGAGACTGATCAATTTCAGTCCTAAAGAAAACATCAATGGAAAGATTCAAGTAAAACAATATCAAGTGAATTAGGTATTATGATGTTTTAACGTTCGAATATGATGAATATATATATATATATAATTATATATATATATATATATTTAATGCGTATGTACACTTCATTTAGTTAGTCAACTGAACTCAATAATTGTTTATATGTAGTTAACTTATTAACCATTTAAGCAGCTTTAAACAAGCATGTTATCAATAACCTGTTCACAGAATCATGGTCTAATTATTAATCTTGTAAAAAGACATATGATGGTAACCTTATCCATAAATTAAAATATAGATAAACTCATATTATGAATAAAGTAAAGTAGTCAATAATCTAGTTTAGAAAGTTTTACTAAAAATGAAGGCATCATATATATATATATATATATATATATATATATATATATAGAAGGCTCTAATGCTTGAACTCAAACGATTACAAATGAATATAGGGTCATACCTGTTACACATGATCATATGACTTTTTTTCAACTACTAATACCCTTATCTTTGTGTTTCCATAAGCTTTTTTTCTTATGTCAACCGTTTCTTTTAAAATATATATCGATTGATTTTCAAGTTTTAATTTATTTTTTAAATACACACAAAAGTGTTGCTTATGCTTATGGCCACTGAATCTTATCAAGTTTAATCATGTGATAGAATTTAATAATGGGACACTTCTTATGGTTTTATAAATGAAGATAAGTTAACTGTTCAAAATTGTATGACATTGGTAAGTAAATGACTTAGTTCATTGTCTAATTCATTATAATTTTGTGATGTTATACTCCTTTTTGAAATCAACCATTAAAATACAAACTTAAAATAGTACCATAAGTTACTAAGTATGAGTCAAGATTTTTATCAGGTGATGGTAAAAATACACCTACATTCTTATCATTAATTAACTTCTTTCAATAAATGGAATAAAAGTAAGCTCCAGTCGGTGACAATATAAATAACTTGCAGTTATACTATTAAGTGTCGAAAATTATATATAACTAAAAGTCCTAAATTAGATCAACAGTCAGAAAGAGTTAACAAAGATGAAAACCAAAGCAAGTGAAACAACAGTAGTAATAACACTACTTATTTTCTTTTCACCTGCTGCCACTTAAGCCAGCAATGTTCGTGTGGGTGGCCAGAGTAAGAGTATTCGTGACATATATCCCAACCACCTTAACTGATAAAGAATTACAGTTTTAATGAAAAGTATTCAACCTTAACCCCCTATATTCGACACCTAGCTCCAACACTATTCACCCCATGATTCCACCATATATCAGTCATACTCCAAAAACATCTACACATACCTTTTATTGTAGTAGGCCAGGTTTCACAGAATTAAAGGGAAATAAAAAAAAAACAACTGAGTAGTTTATTCGTCTTTCGTTAGTTGTACGTCCATTTAATATACACTTAGTAATTTCATCACCAATGAATGCACATGTGGTTAACTCTTCATAACGTACTGTTATTTGTTGTTCTGAGTTGGTTAACACCTAGTTCTTCCTAAATATTAAAGTTTGGTTGAACTACTCCTAAAAGTTTATCGATTTTTTTATTCTTCTAGTTTGAGAGTGGACCACTAAATTATTTTGGGATATATTATTACTGACAGTTGATTTCACAATCCTAGTCTTGTATTAATTATCGGTATGATCTTTCCAGCTTTTTATTTGAGTCGTTTATGCATTACTGCTCACAATTATTGTGTAGGTGTTTTTCAGTCTGTGTTCAAGCTGCCTCTGAGACTCAACGTGTCCGGAGCTGGCTACGACGAGCTTAAATGCATTTAATAATCCAGTGGGAGCTATTTATATTTGCTATTTCTTCCTTAGCTCTCGATTCGAGTTTTCAACAAACAACTGTTATTTTTACCGCATTTCAGAAATTCTTTTAGGTCACATGGATCGAATATGCATACAATGTTTTGTTAGGAGTAAAGTTCATTTTTTATGAGTTCCAAGACGTGTTTCTATTTTAATCTTTGTGCGACCAATAAGGAGCAACGAGACACATACTTATACCACATTATAACCAGAGTCAAAAATATGTTATAAAAGTAAAGGCAGTTTACCATTTCTAATTATCACCCCTATCTATATTTTTAACGTGTGTTCCTAATCAAGTTGATGTCCAAAGTTGATAGATCAAACACTGTCTTTCCTGTTCTCTAGAGACGAAATATACTGTAAATAAAAGATTATCTGACTGTAGTTCGTTACTTGTTTAATGGACTAAAATAATTGAAGTTCCACCTACATCCTTTAAGCTTCACCAAGCCTAACTACTTGAGCGTTAAAGCCAACTGTCATAATTACAACATTAAGATACTCAATCTTTAGTCAGAGGTCAGAAAACTTTCTTTGGAACTCATGTTTTAATTTTTCCGAGTTGCAGTCAGTAGGAATGTAGGCAAAGATTACTTAAAGGGTGGTGGTGTTTATCCCCCTACTTTTAAGCTCTTACACCACCAGTCATTGGGACAGTTGATTAGTGATTACAGTCAAAATCCAGTTCACAAATTGCTTTCCTACTACTGAATTCAACGCTTTACCTACAAGTTCAAGAGCATAAGAAGTTGCCATTAAGTTTGGCAATACCTGATGCGTCAATTGAGCTGATTCTGTGCATCAACTACTTGAAGTTAACTAGATGATTGGGTATGAGTCTTGTTTGTAAGTTTCAAAGACATATCATAAACCAATGACACCAAATTCTAAAATCTTAGCCAATAAAGTCTTTTGGGGGATACTAATTCCCTAAGCACAACTTATTACAGTAAAATCAATCTTGAAATCCATATACTGGACTTAAGCGATTTTCGTTTATTAGCTTTCAGTATTAATCAATGGGATGTGAATTTCGTTCATTGATTTTCAGTACATTTTCAATTGTATTGATTCAGTCACTGTGAAGTTTGTTTGGTTTGGTTTTCAATACAATTTTGTTGTATTAATCAATTCAATGCGATCTTGACTTTAAGCGACAATTACTCATTTGATATAAATCTGCAGTTAGTAATCATTACAACTAGTCTGTATAAGCTGATTCAACTTTATGCAAATTAAATCTTCTGTAGTTTCTACCTAATAAATCTTTTTAGTAAGATTTATTTTTTGGAGTAATTGAGGGAAAGAAATAAGCCGTTGTACCCTGATTCGAAGTTTTATTACAGTAGTACTTATTACCCCAAACTATGTTACGTCTGTTGTTTGATTTGAGACAGTTCGAACATCAGGACTCTTAAGAAGTACTATAATGTAAAATTTAAGCGGAATAGAGATAACATTTTGTCAACAAGGACAGAAAAATTAGTGAGAAATGAGGAAAGAGTTTGATGGAGATGAATATAAAGTTGAACACTAGTTGGAGTGTGTGAGATATTGAAACTCCTTGTTTTCTGACATCATGAAG